TTAGAAGCATAGTGGTACCGAAAACTTCAGCAACAAATGGAAGAATTAGCCCAACTCAATGCTGAAATTGGCTCTCTGTGCTCCTCACAATGAAGGAATTATGTAGCAATGAAGGAGACTTGAGAAACAAACTTGTTGTCTTTTGAGCAGCCTGAATCTCCCCCATGGCAATTGGATTTTATCATCCTTCATGTCTGCCAGAAAGAAAAAAGAGCAGGCTTATGGCATATGAAGAGTGCCATTCTCTCTACATGGTGTGAAGTGCATGCATGCTGATCTACTTGTTCAGTGTCCTAGCACCAGATCACTGTCTCCATGTGAAACAGCAGCCTGGCTCAGTAGAGGAGACAAAGAAAAAGGTGAATGGCCAGTGATGGGATTCAGCCAGTTCACACCGGTTCGGCAAAACTGTTACTTAATTTTTTGTTGAGTTTGGCAAACTGGTTTGAAAGGCCTGACTGGTTTGTAAGTCTTTCCCCTTTTCTTTGGAAATGACTTCATTTCCCCCCCCAACCCCAAGTTCTTGGCCTCTCTTTCAAGAACTGCAATGTTCGTGCTGGTGTGACCAGTTCCTCTTTTGGCACGCAGCCATTGCATCCCAGTTCCAGGGAGTGCCCTCCACACCCAGCCATTGCTCGGCCTTTGTCTCGTCTTCTTCCTGAGTCACAAGAGTATCTCTTGCTTAAACTCGCAGGGGGAGGACAGGGGGAAGGCCTCACTTGGGCTTCCCGCACCACTATCAGCCTCCCACCTCCTAACTGCCAAAGTCCCGCCACCAAGGAGACAGGTGGTACTGAGCTCCTCTGCCCAGAGAGGGGCTTCTGCCAGCTCCACTTCTCCACAGGGAATATTTTGCAGCTACGAGTCCCTGGTGGGGGCACTTTAGAAGGCTAACACAGCCCTCACTATTATGCTCAGCACACCGTCACCTTGCCTGCAGTTCGCTTGGGGCTCCTCAGTGCCTTTGGCCAGCAGAGGCTGGAGGATCAAGCTAGAGACCAGTCCTGCAGGGTTTCCATAGGTTCTGGATCCAGGCTGCTGCAGGGCTGTAGCATGGGGATTGCCAGAGGACCCTCCAGATGCTTCGGGCTGGGCGCTGTTCCTTGTAGGTCTAGGTCTAGGCCCAGGAAAATTTTCCACACTTCCTCTGCCCATCTCATCCTCTTCATCCAGCTGCAGGCCTCGAGGCTCATCATACCAATTGTGCTGCTGCTGCTGTGTAGCAACCTCCTGCAGTAAGCAGTGGCACCAGTGTGAGAGGCATGAAGAGCCACACAGTGTCTTGCCATGAGCAGTGGCACAATCGGTGCAACGAGCCTTGAGGCCTACAGCTGTGAGAGGTGGCAGTGGTGCAATCAGTGCAATGAGCCGAAAACCAGGAGGAGCCTGGTAGCAGCTTGCCTGCACATTCCTTGACCTAGGCGGCTTGGAGCCTGGGCGCCTTGGGGCCTCTGCCAGTCAGCAGAACTGTCAAAGCTGGCCTGGTGCCTAGCAGGAAGGTGAAGTTGGTGGAGGAGGCAGGCGAGTGGCAACCCCAGCAACAAGAAGGGCCCTTTCCAAGCTTGGCCCAAATTCTGCAGGATCAGTCTCTAGCTTGATCCTCCAGCCTCCGCTGGCCAAAGGCACTGAGGAGCCCCAAATGAACTGCAGGCAAGGTGATGGCGTGCTGACCATAATGGTGAGCGCTGTGTTAGTTTTCTAAAGCTCCCCCACCAGAGACTCATAACTGCAAACATTTCCCTGTGGAGAAGTGGAGCCTGCAGAAGCCCCTCTCTGGGCAGAGGAGCTCAGTACCACCTGTCTCCTTGGTGGTGGGACTTTGGCAGTTAGGACAATGTGACAAGCCTTGTGGCCTGCAGCCATGAGCGGCAGTAGTGGTGCAATCAGTGCGATGAGCCTTGAGGCCTGCAGCTGTGAGCAGCTGCAGTGGCCCGATGCTCCATGTGACGTGCGGCCACAAGCGGCCGCAGAACTCAAGCAGCAGCGCGACAGGTATCGGGGCGTGGGAGGTCTGGCTGCAGCAGTCCTAGGTAAGCAGGTGCAGGGTGCCTGGGGCAGCTCTACCCCCCCCACCTCTGCCCTCACTTGATTTTTACATGTGCGTCAGGTATTATTTAATATTTTTTCATTAATATTTTAAAACTCTTTCTTATAACATAATCTAGTTTTGTGTACCTTTTATTGTTCTTATTTAAGTATTAAATGCATGAAATAATAAACTACCTTTCTATATATCATTTTTTTTATACTTAAAACGGTCATTAGGGCAGAGAACCGGTTGTTAAATTATTCGAATCCCATCACTGTGAAAGGCTGAGATACAACTTGACTTCCTGCCTCCACTTGGTGGCACAGGACAATTTGATACAAGCATTCTTACTTTGCCTAGAAAATGTCCAAAGGGAATACTTTGATGGAGGCATGGCAGACACTTTTGGGAACAGAACACCTATATTATCTGGTGGCATAGAATAGAAAGGACTTAGCATGCCATATAGTAGCACAGTGCAACAGTAATATTTAGTGGAACTGGTGTGAATACCTGTGGCTTTGTAGTGCTCGCAGTATGGGTGGTTGCACCACCCACAGCCTCTTCATGGCTTGGAATCATGGGAACTGCTAGCAAGCAGGGGCTTGCCATTGTGCTCGCAAAGGAATCTATAGAAGTGCTCTTGATAAAAGTATATGACTTCGATAATGATAATGAATCATTTGCAGGCATTACTTGGCTGTATTGTGTTAATAATCTTTCCCCACCATTTTCCTCTGTCTCTCCCTCTTTCCCCTCCCTCCCCTCCCACCACCCAATGTCCAGATATTATATGCCTCTGAGAGCCAAAATGTTAGAAGCAGCATTAGTTTACTGATGGAGTTGAATATTAATTATCACTAGAAAGATAGCCAGTGTGTGCATGCTGCAGTCAAGTTCTAGCAGTAATGCAGTCTGATGTAAGTCAAAAAATGGCCTCCAGCATCTCTCATTTAGTTCCAGAAGATATTGGAAGGAGGGTGAATAACAGGAATCCAACAAGCTCCAACCACAATTTGAGAACTGATAACTAGGGCAGCATATTAGGAGCTTCCAAGACTTGTCTTGCCAAGCATGTATTAAGAATGCTACTGGGCTGCTTGGCTATCCATCCAAAAGTGAGGGGAAACCCTTAAAAATGAACATATAGCCTTTTAACAGATCATTCTTGATAAGTTCAACTCCTCCCACAGAAGCCAAATCTTGCTTGCTCATCTGTAAACAAGATAGAGTGGTGCCAGATTAATTCTGTTCTCCTTTAAATTGTTTCAAAGAGGTCTTACATTATGTAAATACAATAAATGACATACAATTTAAAAAGAGCCTGCCTCTTTCTCTCTCTCTCTCTCTCTCTCTCTCTCTTAAACTACTTGAATGTAAAAAAAAAAAAAAAGAACACCGCCCCTTTCCTTTGTCCTGCCCCCTTCTTCCTTCAGATTCTCGGAAAGACTTTATACTTCTCTCTCTCTCTCTTTCTCTCTCTGCTTCTCACCCCCACCCCCAAAAGACTAAATTGGGAGACTTGGCGAACTAAACAAAGCAAGCCTGGCTGCCAGGAGCAGTCTAAGAAAAAAGCCACAGGCTGATTGTGACAATGAGGGGACTGTGCACTGTGGCGTCTCCCCCTCTTCCAGAATCTCAATCCTTGATGTTTTCCAGGTAAGATGAATGGCCCCCATCCATCAGCATTTCCAGCCCCCAGGGCAGCTGAAGAGATCCTCTTGTCAGGCTGGGGGCGGAGGGCAGAAGCTTTCATTGACGTGCAGCTTTTTTGACAAGACTGAGATTTTTGCATAACTAGCTCAACATTGCATTTAGAAACACTGAATTTACCATGTTTCGTTGAATTTCCTAGCTAGCAGTTTCAGCACACATGAATAGATGATGGTAAATATCAGATTTTCCTATATATCATTCTGAAAGCTTAAGATAAGTTTCTTCTTAGACTAAGCAACAAGTCTCAACCCATGTGCATTAACATACGCCTTGAACATTTTATCAGCAACTGCAAAAAATGTGGAGTTACACAATAGCATAGAAAGATTCAGATCCTATACCTATAAATAGTCTAGCAAATCCATGGGTATCTTATTGTTAAGGACTACTTTAAGTTTGTACGTATTGGAAGTTATCCATACCTTTAATTATATATTTATAAGTTAGCAAGTCTGCTTTTGGTTTTGTAGTAAATACTGGTTGTCTTGAATATCATGAAAAGGGACCCATGTCTAGTTTTCATGTCACCTACGTATAATGATTTTATTTAATAAATAATACCTTCAAAATTAAGACTGCAGACCTAAATGTTCTTAGTGAAGAATAAATATCAGCCACATACATTTTCAAATAAATTCCTCTGAAATTAATTTTATGTATTATATCATAATTTTTGATCACTGTTTTAATATCTTTATTTGCAAGTAAGTCCCAATGAGTCCAACAATACTTACTCTCCAGTAAATATGAACTGGGTTTCTGCCAAGGTTTGTAAATATTTTCCTCAAATGATGAGCTCATAAATCATAATGCAAGATTTGCATCAGAAGCTCACTTATTATTATTATTTTGGCATACCTGACATACATCTTTGTCAATGATCAAATAATTCATTTAATCAGCACTTTCATTGGAAAAAAGAAATGATTTAGGTAGGTAATTTTGTTGTTAAATAACCAACAAATAATGAAAAATCCTATAAAAACTCAGATGATAGCAATCAACCGATGGAACAGCTTGCCTTCTGAAGTTTTGGGTGCTCCATCACTGGGGGCTTTCAAAAAGAGAATGGACAACCATTTATCTGAAATGATATAGGGTCTCCTGCTTGAGCAGGGGGTTGGACTAGAACACCTCCAAGGTCCCTTCCAGCTCTATTATTCAATGTTCTATATTCTAAAACTTTTCAAATAAAGAGCCACTTTATTTTGCTCCACAGGAACTGCCCACTTGCCTGTCTACCAATCAAAACGGATTCGGTGTGTGGGATGGCCCAACTTGCTATACTAAAAAGAGACCAAAGCAGAATAAATCCGGAGCAGCTCATACAGCAAGAAAAAAAAAACATGAAAAACCCAATGTATGAAATAGCATCCCTGTTACTGGAAAAGTTACTTCTGCTTTCCAACTTTAAAATTCTGCAAACAGGTTCCATGGAAGAGGAGGAGGAGAAGAAGAAAAAACATGTATGTTGTTATGACTCTTCCTATTTCAGACCAGGAGATTTGCTAGAAGTGCCCCGCACTCTCTTCATTCATTTTGGCATTTATTTGGGAGATAACCAAGTAGCACATCTTATGCCAGACATTCTGCCTGCTTTCACTAATGATGGGAAGTTGATCCAGAAAGTAGTGACTAATAAGAGACTTATATTGGGGGTCATCACAAAAATGGCAAGGATCCGTGTGGACACAGTGGAGGATTTTGCTTATGGAGGCTCCATCCTGGTGAACAGTATGGATACATTTTTCAAAAATTGTATCCTTTGTAATGATAAAGTGGTCCACAGAGCAAAAAGGCTGGTGGGCACAACAGAATACAGTTTACTCTGGAACAACTGTGAACATTTTGTGACGTTTTGCAGATATGGCTCTCCAGTCAGCTTCCAGACAACCAAGGTAAACTATCATTGTCCAAATATCCTCTGACAAGTGGGGCTATATCTTTGTTTTAAGTTATGATGTGCTAGAAGGGGGAAGAACAAGTAGCTTATGTTTATAAACATTACAATGTATATTTAAAAAGCATTTTTCCTAGATATTTTTGTTTAAAATAGAGGTTTCTCTAGGATTTTGGAGTGGGTGGATGTGGGGGAAAGAGGAACTTTTTAAAAAAGTTCTCTTTTAGTAACTGATATGTACCTAGACTGGCTTAAAACGGATCATAAAAGTCTATAACATGTTTTACATTACCTATTAAATTCAAGTCCCAGTTTTCTTTGCTTATCTAAGAGACTAATATATGGATAGCAACAAGTGGACAGAACTGAGTTGATGCTGCCAAGGAAGTGATACTGGTGCAACTTTAATCCTTCAATGTCCTTATATGAATGCAGATCCAGGAAAAGAGTTATTCTGTTCATGGTGTCTTAATAGGAGTATCTTCTGCTGAAGTGTAGTTCGCTTATGACTTCACAACTGGAAGAGCAAATAATGCAAAATTGCTATTACTTTTATAAGAGATAATTATCTCTATTTATAGTTTAGCAACATATTATACCTCTCCCTGAATATTGGCAATTCATCGCTTTAAACATTCTGGTCACCTCCCTTCTCTTAGAATTAAAGATTTATTTATTTATTTGTTTATTAAGAAATTTATTTGCTGCCCATCTCGTGTCAAAATTTATTGCAAGGGGCAAACCGTGTCAGAAGAGATAGTTTCAGAATCTTAATAGTATGTAGGATTTTTTGTTTTAGAAGGCAACAGGTCTGATCCTTGTTAAATGGAAAGGTGCTTCTAACACAGCAAATTCTAGCTGTGAATCTACATTTGATATTAATTCCTTAAGTCTGTGCAGAAATGAGGTAGGTTTTAGTATTGCAAAAAGTTTAAAACTCCACCTTTTCTACAAAAATAAATTTAAGGATTTGTTCATTTATTTTCTGACTGTGCCACAATTATTCCTATATGATGTCTCTAAACTCAATGTGCAAGTAAAATTCTGTTGAGGAGAATGCTTTATTAAAATATTAAGAGCAAAACCAAACTCTCCCCACACTGTAACCCAAAATGAAGGAAAGGAATGCTTGTGCAGGGATGTGGCAGGAAATTTTTTGAAAGGCAATAAATCCTATATTTAAGTCATAAGCAAATAATTTATTTTAATGGAGGTAGTGTTTCGGTGAAGGTAATTAGAATAGAATACATATTCACATCTGTGAGGGATCACTTAAATATTAAATTTGAGCAAAATGTTATTAAAGACATTTATATTTGCCATGTTTCTATGAATTTAATGGGAATTAATACTTAGACTCTTCATATAAAAAAAATCTAAATACAAGTTTCAGCAAGTTTACAATAAATTGTTCAAGATGGAGAAAACTCAGTTTCTCAATCACCAGAGATGATGTGACTGGAAATGGATAATAGTAACTTTTATAACTAAAAGTCAGGACTTAAGATTTTTCCTGTCCCAAGGAAACACCTACTGTTCAGTCTTATGCTCTAACTTTTAGAAGAAATAGTTGCTTTTACATTGGTTACATTTTGGAATTAAAAAGGAAAGAGGCATGGGAAAGCACCACCCAGTGTTTTCTGACTGGTAAACTAGCAAAAGCCCACAGGTAAGCAGATGATACAAATGAGTGAGAATACAATGCCATGAATGTAATCCAACTGACTGGAAACCTAGGCTGATTTGGGAAATCAGAATCCCAGAACTAAGATAAGTATTGACAGTTGAGATGGCAACCCTCTAGGAAGGCAACATCTCTTCTGCCCTGCATTCAAAAGACCAAAACTTTGGGTGAGGAAACAAGAAATTATTATCTATTGTCCCTAAGGAGGAAGAAGATACAAGATAAGTTCTCTTTCATCTTTTCATATTAAAAACTAAATCCATATCTTGTTTTGGGAAAACAAGCAGACAAGGAAACATACACTGCTGCTCAGCCTTGAGAGCCAAAATGCCCTTCCAATATTCAAATAGCGGAAGCAAGACCCAAGTTAAACACTAACATGATGCTATGACCTCCAATGTAAATTTGCAACTACCAAAATTCTAGACACCTGAAAGTATAGCTGCTAAAAAGGAAGATACTAGCCAGTGAAGACAGAGTTGGCAAAAATGAGCAAAAACTCACATGAAAACTAAAAGAAAGGTTTCTACCATCCCATTTCCAAGGTAAAAAAAATTTAGACTACAGTTCACATAATCTCTTATCATTAGTTATGCTGGCTAGAACTGATAGGAAAAGCTTACAGTGCACACATTGTTTCAATGTGTAAATTCTACAGGTTTATGCACATTCAAATACTTGCATGGAACTTATACTAAACAAACCATGAAACAAATATCAACATTTTCCTCCCATGCAAGGGAAGGAGCATGTTTAATTTTTTATTCTAAAGTCTTCTATCTTTGCAGTTCTGTGAAACCATGAAGATGATCATTCGAGACCAGAGAAGCATACTTGTTTCGGCACTGCTGGGATTGATTTCTATACTTTATTTGGGTCTGGGACTTTCTACTACTCTTCCTACTATCATCATTCCATTTATGCTGTGGATGGCTGGTTAATGAATCCACCTGCTTTACCATTTATTGGCTACTAGATGACCCATGGCCCATTGAGTACTCTTTTCAGAGATATTTCCTTATCTAAACAAAGAAACAGAATGATGGGATGGGCAAAAAAGCAGTGGGAGCAAAAGCAACTTCTGGCTTCTTGCTGGCTTCCTGATTGACTTTGCTTTTGGGAAGCCAGCAGAAAGTATCAGAAACCACAATCACATGACCTCAGATGACCACAGAGGCACTGCAAGAGCCACAAGTTTATGAATACAACTGAAGAGCCTTAACATTTCAATTCCATGGGAGTAATGGATTTTCTACAACTTGTTCAAATTACCAAATCTGAAGTACGTTGCTTCAAAAACAGTTGCTTCAAAACTGGTTGCTCTATGATGCAACATTTTGCTCAATTGAAGGTTACAAATAGACAAAACAGAGTTTTAGTAGTATATTGGCATTCTATTGTAAATAGAATGTATCATGTATTTATGAAAACTCAAACTAATAATATTACACAGTGAAGAAAATGTGGAATGATTAGCATGCAGCATATAGAATACAGTGAACAAGCAATAACTTGTAAATTAAGCAACTGGGTTTTGTGAAAAAATTTCCAAGCAATTTCAGGGATGACCATATCGGATTTATTCCCAAGCAAAGGTGTCTAATCTGCAAGTTTTACACTCAGCAGTACATTTTGGCAAACTTAATAAAGGTGACCTCCCAAGTAAATTTGCATAATTTCAAAGTGAATAATTAAAATTATCAATGACATTCTCTTGGATATAGGAATGTTTTAGTATTCAGATTGTACAAAGCAATGTACAGTTTGTTTAATAACTGCTATTCTGCTTTGCATCTTTTTCCAATTTCCCTAAGTTTACATTCACTAACTGTATTTTTATTTAAATGGCATAATTGCATTTCAACATCCTGCTTGGACTTGAGATAACAAAATATTTGCACCAGAATTATCTTTGTTATTCCCTGTTAATGAAATCCAATATAAATCAGTCCAATGGGCTTCTGTAATCTCAAGATAAGTGACAAACAAATTAGTGCGAAAGACATATGCAGCTATCTATTTTTGGAATTCTTTTCACACTATAGACAAATAATTTTCAGTCATGGAAAAGGACTCACAGACCATTATTGTGCCATTGTTAGAGCTTCCATTATATAGGACAAAAAAGCTTATCTGAGTTTGAGGGATTCTGTTAAAAAGACATCAGGTTATTAATTACTACCTGAAATAAACACCTAGCTTGATAAGATCAGATACCTTGTGGAAAATTGTGAAAGCATTGCTGTTTTTTGCTGTTTAGAATACTACGGCACACTTCCTTTGAATTTGCAAGTTGCATATTTGCCATCATAACAACAAGCATTAATCTATGTCCAATTAACATTCATATAGTTAGACTGTACATGTATTAATGTATTATCTCTTTCACATTTACAATTTCTTTTGCTCCCTGTCTTTAGACATTTCTTAAGTGTATTGAGACATCAGAAATGTAATAATTTAATGATATCCTATAAAATAGAGGTATTTTACATTTCAGTAAAATGGGTTAATTTCCATGCTATGTTGTACAATTTCTCTGCATCCCATTATTAAATGTCTTTATGGTACAGAGACAAAGGAAAACAAACAAGCATATGATTTTTTTAATTTTAACCTAATAAGATTATGTATATTTGTTTGCCTTCTCTTAATCTTACTTCATTGGGCTGCAGACATGCAGCATTTTTACACAATTCCTATCATCTATGAAAGTGCTGGTAATTGCCTAAATAATTATAATAAATCACCTGCTATGCTGATATTCAAAGAAATAGAATGGCAGGTAGTATGTGACATACATTTACACCCATTGCTCCTGTGGAAACTGAGTGAAGTTCCTGCTTTGTGACTGTGGTCTCAGATCCAACTTACAAATTACAATAACACCATAGGTTGCACTATAAGTTGCTTGGTATAGGTAAAGCTACTTAGAACTATCACAAGTGAAATGTTTCTTGATTGTATAATTAATGCATACCTCACAGATAGATGTCCATCCAAACAGCTAATTGTCCAAAGATATCCTCAGATTCCTAATAACTGTCAGTGTATAATGAAAAATGCATTTGACAGCCTATTTATGAGTGTTTATTTCCAAAAGATCAGTTACTTTACAAATATAGTGCTTAGCCATCTTCATGAAATGTATGCATTAGAAGTTCAGAAAGTGTGTATGTTTATAAATTTTACAGTGCAATGTTTTCCCTACAGTGTAAACTACATCATAACCATTTGTATTTTAAACATGCACAAATACCTGTTTGAACATGAGACCAATATGTTAATATTTTTAAAAAGTGGTTCATGAGAATCTAGTGAGGAATTGTTGGTGTGTTTGCAACTCTGCTGCCTGTACATAAACCCAACCTATGTTTTGGAGGACATTTTAAATATACAATTCTAACAACTTCTACTTGTGTGTTGCTCTTTTTATATGGTTGCGTGGGGTGGGGGGGAGAGTCTGGAATGGAATACTTGGAAAGCCACACCGGAAATAGGAGTGCAGAACTGCAGGGTTTGTGTAATGGATATAGTTTTAAATCGATTGATTATATCTGAAAGATACCATGCTAGTGCCCTCTTGCATATTATCCTCTTTCCTTCTTTACCCTACAATTGCAAACAACCTATGGGAAAAGTTGCAGTTTGGACAAGCTGAAAATAGTAGCAGTGGGCAGCCCGGCCATGTTGTGCTAATAGACAAGAGACTCCCTTTCCCTAGTTAAATTGTTGAAAAATTAATTTAGAAGAATTTATGAAATGAACAGAAAATGTTGGCAAAGATTGTGGGTATTAACAAACTCAATAGAAACAAGGGTGAGGAAAAAGGCTGCCATTCTTGAATATAAAGGAAAGTAGTAGCTCCTTTGTTTCCCAGATTCTATAAGCCTGTCATCTTCCAAATAAGATAAATGGCCTCCATCAATAATCTTGGCAGCCCTTGGTGAAATAGGAGATATGCTTGGGTCCCAAAATATACAATCCTACAACTGTGGGAGAGGCAAAGGGAGGAAGGGAAGAGACATTTGTGTAGATCTGACAAAGGTGCTTTTTTGTAAAATAAATTGCTCATTTTCATAATGTAAATCATTGCAAACTTTAGTTATGCTGTCCCAGATGATGGAATTAAGAGTAATCATTTGGGATCAATTTGTAAGCGGAAGTAAAATAAAAATAGTCATAAAGAAAACCCAGATGGTTTTATAGGGATATTTTTTCTTCCTTCTTCAACACACATTAATGTCAGGATATAGTCCTTAATATGTTCTTGATTTATAAAAAAAAATACATTCTGTGATTTTAATGCTAACAATTTAAATTAGCTATTAATTAGTCAGCCATAACATGTATAGGGAGTCCTCAACTAATGACCATAATTGTAAGTTATTAATATGGCAATTTTAATGATGGTCATTAAATGAATCACCATAATTATTAAGTGAATCATCTGGTCATTAAGTGAATTTAGCTCCTTCAATGGGTGTTTTTTTGCTGGAAATGGGCAAAAAAGATTGTAAATCACAAGCAAGTTGCCAAGTGCCTGAATTGCGATCACTTAACTGTGAAATTGGTAAGACAATTGTAAGTCTGAGTACAGATCTTTAATTACTGTTTCTGAGGCCATTGTCATTAAACAAATGGTGATTAAGTCAAAGACTACTTGTGATTTTAAAAGGTAAAAGGTATATATACTGAAATCAGTAAGCTTCTATTAGGAGCAAAGTTAGTTCCAAAAGCTCTTCAAAACATTTTTGAAAACTTGACTTCATTTCCCAGATAGCAAATATTTCAAAGGTGAAGCCAAGCCTTTATTTTCCCAAAGGCAAAATTAAGACAAAACATTTCTCTTGTTTTTTTTCTAATCCTGAAATTATTCCAGTGTTTTCATCATTTTTATTAATCAAAGGGAAACATTTCTCTAATATGGGAGTGTTACCTTTTCACAAGTTACAATGGTTGTGTTGTAGTGGGTTGCATAACCACAGAACTCATACTAACCAAATACTTCACTATCAAAGCAAAAGCTCAATCATTGATAGGAGAGGTACATAAGAAAAATTATTCAGATGAGCGTAACTCATCCGAATAGTTCATCCTTTATGTAGGAATCAGTGGTGCCAAAAAAAAGGAAGTGAAACAGCCATATAACCCACCTACCACAATGAACAATTTAATCAAAAATTGCCTTCCCACATCTGTAGGAGCTGAAATGTCATAAGCAAGAGGTCCCCAACCTTTTGGGCACCAGGGACTGGTTCCGTGGAGAGAGGTTTTTCTGCAGACTGGAGAGTGCGTGGTTTTGTATGCTGCCTGCATCCCACAGATGGGGCTTTGCTTGTCTGTGCAGACTGGTTGCTGGCATGCCGCGGCCCGGTACCAGTCCATGGCCCAGGGATTGGGGACCTCTGACATAAGCAAACCAGGTCATTTTAGAAGGTATTCAAGGGGGTAAAGAATTAGAACTGCAACTATCTGGCACAGTGGACAATGGGGTCACACTTTCATAGATGCAATATCTGGCATGACAGAAAGTAGCAACTTCATTGCTACAGCATTGGGAATGCTGACCTAACACTCTGAAAGACTGGAATGTCCCTTGAGCTATAGGATTTCAAAAGGAGTCAGAAAGCACGGAAAGACAAACTAAAAAACCCGCATTTTGAAGAGGGATGAGGACAGTAGTCGATAGACATCAGGAAAAATAACATATAGCATGTGAAAATACAAAACAACAAAAATAGAATTTCAATCATTTTAGTGCTGTATGGAGACCTATGGATACAGCACCCAAATAGCCTCAGCTACACTGAATGAGTTTTGTCAGAGTGATGCTTGTGGTCATTTGGTTTGTCAACCTAACTCAGCCTGGGAAAGCAGAAGCAAGATTACAGTCATGCAAGAAAGAAATATTTACAATTTGGTAGCAATTATCCAAAACTTTATGGTCCAAGGAGAACCCCTTCAAGAAAGTCTGAACCACTACCTCTTTCAAGGTGGTAGACATAACTT